GTGTGGTCTCGGTAGAAGCTGTGATGCGACTGGTGTTGCGCCGAACGGCGCTCTATTTATAAGCGCGCTAAGCAGGTAGCGCTCGGACCCCCGCATGTTTCGACTGACCCTTTAGACGTATCTTTATTCGAAAATAATCATACAATATTTACAAATTAAAACATTAAAAGTACAAATAGAACACAACATACATTGACAATTAAAACCTATGCATAAGACTATTTTAACACACATTAAAATACAAATGCTTTATATTACACAAATTCTATATCATGTTATTTAAGATAAACATAGGTTAAGCACAAATATAAAAAGACATCTTAGACATAAAAATACACACGTCATTTACAGACTAGAATAAATCTAAGATGTATTGAATTATTAAAATTGTTTCCATAATGTTGTATTCAAAAATTATATAAACATGTATGGGCAGTGGGATGCTACTTCGACATTAAAAACATAAAAAATCAATTCACGTGAAAGTACATTCTGGTAAATAACCTATCCAATAAATGATTACAATAATATATAGGTTATAAACAATTTACATTAAACTTACATTACAGTGGCGATGTACCTTAAGAGCTATACATATGACATACACGAGTTACACTGAATCTAACTGGGGATAAAACTGTGGCGACACTCACTTATTTCACATACTAATTTCACTATATCACTTAATATCGAATATCACTATTTTAAATATTTATTATTTACTTGAATTCTTTCTTGGCATCTGGTCCCACGGTTCTTGCACATCTTGCAAGTCATTATAGAAATTAGGCGCAATAAACTTAAAACATTTTATGATTCCCTCGCCGTGGCCGTCATTTGCATCTATTGTCAAATTCAAGAAACATTGAATTTTATTATTGTTTAATATTTTTAAGTTCAAAAATTCCTTGCTCTAATGGCTGCAATAAAATAGCCAATCTGCAGCTCTATTGTTGTTAAGGAATGCACATTTCGTTTCTAATATTTTTAAAATTATCTTTACTTCTTTATTGCCCAAGTACAAAAAAATCCTTTTGATGCCCGTTCCTTTCAAAAAGCCAATTAACATTTTGATGTTAAATTGATATTCGACGTCTTGATTATTTTAATTCAAGATAAACATATTCGTCGCCAACAGGTATTGAAAATATAATTATATGGATGGAATAATATCTAATCGCTTAAAGTTTTTCATATATTTCATCTCTATCTAAATAATATTTTTTTATCTAATTTTTGGGACAAATGAGTGGGATAGTTTGTCTATTCTTAAGGTCTATAACAAACCATAGATTATTTCCATACTTTCATACTTATATTATAATTATTATATTCAACTTGCATTTGGTGTGACTAAAGCTGTTGAAATATCCTCGTGTTTAATAGATGAATAGACAACGATTTGATTTCCCAACGGGCATAAGATAAAAGGCAACGTCGGATTTACTTCAATATTTCACGCAAAGCTTTATTTATTTGTATTGGCAAAACAAAAAAAATGGATTTTGACTTTTTTTTTTAA